GGGAGAGAAGACAGACGCCTAGAAAGAGGGTCGGCGCGGAGCTGGAGAGGGAGGGGGAGGTGGGGAGCCCTGCGCTACGAGGTCCGTCAGCGAAGTCAGCCCCCAAAATAAAGTTATTTCAGTTCAAGCATCTGCTATGGAGTCCTTTCGCCACAGTCGGGTTCCGGCTCAGCAAAGAAGGTCGAAGAGACCCAGAGGGGTGAAAAACCGAAGCGGATGGCGAGGGTCTGCGGTGAAAGAGGCGTTACCCCCCACCGGTGGCTGCGGAAGCGGACGCAGCCTCGGGGACCTCCCGGGTCCGGGGCAGAGTCGCGTTGGAGAAAAGCAGCAAGAACAAACAACTTAAAATGGCAGCGACGGCCCTGCGTCACCCTCCCCTCAGCGGCACCGCCCCGAGCCGACTACGGCTGCGCGCAGTGTGGGCCCGCACCATCTGCTCAAAAGCGGGGAGAGAGACAGAGTAACAGTGAGACAGTTTTCCTGGTTACAAAGGAAAAAGGAGAGGAAATGTACAGAAAACGATGTATTTACACTTTTAAATGAGCAAATATTGTAAATAATGGCTGTCATTTAGTATTCCTGCCTTCAAGGGAAATTTGAAAATATGGGCTCCCCTCTCCTTCACTATGGAGCATTCCTAGGCGGGGAAAGGGGCTCCCGCCCCTCCCTCCACCCTGCCGTCAGGACGTCCCAGTGTCCCGAGTTGGCGCCTCGTCCCGCCCCTCCAAACGTCATAAAGCCACGCCGTTACGTTCCCCCTGACAAAAGCACCCGGATTCCATCGCCCCACCAGGGTGTGATCAGTTTTGGGGACTTTGGGCGTGGGACGGTGGTGCTACAGTTTGGGCATCTAGCGAGCGAGCGTAGGGCTAGAGTGAAAGAGGAAGAGGAAAGTGTGTTGTGGGAGTGGGGGTAAGACAATCATTTTATTATTATGGTGGGTATCCCTTCCGGGAGCTGAGGTTTCACTTGAGCGCGTCGCAGAGAAGGTGTCGCTGTTGTCCCTCGCGTCCCCGGAGCCTGTTTCCGCCCCGCCACGTGCGCCGGTCGCGAGGGCGACCTGGGACTGGGAACAAGGACAAAGTCTGGGGGGACGGTGCAGCTGTGGCGGAAGAGAGGCAGCCGAACCTGAGCTGTGGATTATTTCTTGGTACAGAAGAACAAAATTTCTGTTAACTGTCCCCTGGGACCTCAGACCTAAATCCTGTCCCTTATGAGGCTGCCTTCGTCCTCAAAATGTAGAGGGACGTTTGTCACTGAATCCTTGACACCAAAGTACAGTGAGTCCGTTTCCAGCTTTAACTGATTAAAACGCAGTTATATAAGTAATCAGAAAAGATCAGTACTCCATATTAGCAAAGCCCGTGGAGTCCTTTATTGGCTATTCTGTGATTAGTTTTAGAAGTCTAGCTCCCAGATTACTGCAATCTTGGTAAAATGAATATGTGTGTTATAAAAACTCGTTTCTTTCACGTGTGAGCCAAACGGGTAAATTTTGAATCTTTCCAAGCGAGCACATTGAATCTTGACTTGTGAAACAATTGGATGTAACTGGTCAAAAACAGTGAATTCTAGCACCTTGCCATGGGACTGTGCCTGTTTTTAATAAGATGAGCCCAGAAATAACAGCAATGTGTCCTGAAGCAATAAAACCATTTCTAGTTCAGTTTTCTCTGTAACTTGGAAAAGCTGTAAAGTAGGAGGGGTAGCAAAATTTAAAAAGCCATGACCATAACAGTTCCTCAATGAAAGTCAGAGAGAACTCATTTTAGATTTAGCTAACCAACTATGCAGAAAAAGTCACCTCATTATGTCTTATTTGGAGGTAGGCTGCTTCAGCAGAACTTGTAGAACAACGGTGGTAACATCTTGACTAAAAGTATCTGCTTAATTTTTAAATTACACCGTTAGATACATTGTGACGTACTGAAGCTGTCTTGATTGAAATTCAGATTACACAGTAAAGGATTAGTTTTAATGTAATAATCCCTTGTGAAGATTCTATGCCAGCTTCCTTTCTGAAGAAACACAATCCAGACCAGTCTAGGCAGGCATTTCCTTACCAACCATAGATATCCGAATTTGCATTTATATCATGTCAAGAAATGATTACTCAAGCATGTACTTACATAACTTACATGACTAAGTTAGCCAATAAATTAATAAAAAGAACCAGCCGTTTACATTTAAAGTGTAAGTTGTACACGTGCTCTTATCTCACAAAAATTGAGATTTCACAATTTCCCACCCCTGTTCATACTTACGCCCAGCAAGTATACCAGATTTTTCAGGAGTTCGGAAATATTTTCTTCTTTCATTACTGCCCTGAAGTTTATCAATAAAGCCCCTAATTTGGGGCCATATGTATGATTACGAATTTAATAAGCATGATAAACATCTACACCTAACAAGTCTATGCTTAAACTCTACAGGCCTAAAGAAGTGCATAGTTTGGATACTCTACAGTTGGATTCTAAAAACAGAAGCGCCATGAGACTTCTCTCCAGATTTTAATCTTACATTTATCATTTAAGATAAAGCTGAGATTATAATCAACTGAATGTGCCAGTGCAGCAGGGTTTTTTGTTTTTGCTTTTTCACTTTTTTTTTGTTTGTTTTGTTTTGAGCTAAAGCCCCAGCCCCAGCAGGGGTTATTGACAGCTGGTACTCTAGTGGCCACACCCCCAATCTACAACAGCTACGTGGTTACAAAATTAAGTTTGTTCTGAGACCTGTGCTTACTCCTTTGGAAGTCCTAGGGGATAGTTTGTTAATTTCTCCTTCATTCTTTTCTTAATTTCACATAGGCCCAAACTGTAGAGGTCAGTACTTACTTCAGGCTGATAGTTGAGGGTTTTGTTTTGTTTTTTCATTTTTGAAAGTCTGAATGTGTTGCCAAGATGGGCCTGGAACTCTCCTGCTCAAAAGATCCCTCTGCGTCAGCTTCCTGAGTGTGAGGACTACAGGTGTGCATCTGCTCGAGAATGACAATCTTTAAATATTTACTGAGGACCCAAAGCAAGTGGTAGGCTTAGAAATTGAGAGCGAGCTGAACAACTACTGTCCCACAGTTTGGAACAGGGTTAAGAATTGGAGGGATCTGTTGGTGAACACTTATATACCACCATGTATTTATTTTTAACGGTGTCTTCCTCTTCCCTCTCACTACTCTTATACTTTATGCCTGTCAGCATTATCCAAAAGTATTATTCATACAACATCTGTTTACACTTTGGATTAAAGAGGTGCAAATTGCTGTAATCTACTGGTACCATCTGAGAAGCATTTTAATCCATTATTGCTTCCTTAGAATCTTAATTTATTACCAAAAATGTTTTTGTTTCTTTTTTTAACAGAGAGCCTCACATGTGCTAGGCAAGTTCTCTACCACTGAGCTACATCCCTAGCTCTGTATTATTTTAAGACAGGGTCTCACCAAGTTGCCTAAATTAGCCTCAAATTCTCAATCCTCCTGCCTCATCCTCCCAAGTTGCTGGAATATAGGCATGTGCCACCATACTTGGCTCAAAAACATTTTTCATTTTCCTTGAACCTTGGCCTGCACTGACTTTTGCTTTTTGACTTTCTAATCTCATTTCAAAGGTCTTCTTGATTCCATGTCACTCCCACAACACAAAATGCTGTTACTATTGTGTTTAGTGTATCTAGGAAAATTAAAGTAGATAGGGATTTGAGCTCCTGGCATTTTATTAGAAATACTGTGTCATCTTTAGAAATTAAATGTTAAAGCATAAATTGTTTGCTCCATTCCACCCTATTCCTACATACAAAAAAGTTAAAGCAAATTTGAGCAGTTCACATATCAAGGAAAATTTATATATTTGAAAAAAATATATATATATACATTTACTTCCTTCTTAGAGTACATTTTACCCTTTACTCCATAAAAACTAGGTAATAAAAAGGGAACAGGAAAAATATATATGCATGCCATCCAGTGTAGGGAAGACCCCAGGAAGTTGGAGAAGCCAAGAATGTGGAACATCTGAGGAAAGCCACAAAGAGTGAACAAAGCCAGCCCTAGAGAGCAGTCATGAGGACTACAAATCACCAATTTCACTCCACAAAAATTAGATGATGAAAATGGGAAAGATACATATATATCTCCAAACCAAATTATAACACATGCAAAATAATTTCTTCCACATGTAGGATATTTCCATTTGTCTACTCACACAAGTATACTGTAATTATAGAAGTTTATAAATTCTTTGGTAAAAATACATGGGTGTGTGTATACCTGTAGGCAAATACATAAATATATAGGCAGTCAGACCGCCACTATACTTTTTCATTTGAACATTGCATTCATTATTTTTCTCTCTCTCTTTTTTTCTTGATACCCCATATTGAACTCAGGACCTTGTGCTTGCCAGGCAGGCACAATGCTGCGGAGCTACATCCCCAGCCCCTGCATTCGCTATTTCTGCATTAAAATTATCCTAAAATTTATTGTCTTAAGACAAGGAACATTTCCTATTTCATAATATTTATGGGTCAAAAATCAAGAGCCTTCCTGCTTGCTTCAGGCTCAGCAGTCACCTGAGGTTGCAGTCAAAATGTTGACTGAGACTACAG